TACTCGAAGTACAGCGATCTATGATGATAAGATGAATCGATCGATTGAACTGATTGGATCATCTAAAAAAGCGTTCTCCGGGTCTTATCTATGGGAGGGAAACTAGCTCTAACGAAAAAATAACAACGATGAACAGATTCGTATGGTTTCAGCTCGCGATCGTATACTAAATCTAATAAAACTCGGACAAACAAAATGGTTAGCATGCTGGTCGTCTCTAAGTGGTAACTATGGTGGTTTCTGCCTCCTGTTTCTATAATGTTCTCATGCTATCTAATCGTGCAGGTACATCTGTGTGACAGTGTGAACGTGTAATAAAATGTAGGGAAAAAATTGGCCTGGAAAAATTGTGACGTTGATGATAGTTCGTATATACACGTGTACGTTTAAAACTTAGTGGTTAGATTATTTGGCGATTAAACGAATTGAAATTTTTTTGCGAATAAAAAATATCGCAGTGGCCATCTGAAAAAATCATGCACTTTAAAAAAGAAATTAGATAAAAATGTACGGTGTTGTATTTCACTGGCAAAATTGTATTTGCAAAAATATGGTCAAAAATGTATGTGAATGGTGCTGGAGTTCTGGGTAGTGCACACGGAACATGAATATCTTGGATGAACTATCTGCAACATATTCTAAATTGGTAGAACGGTAAAGAAAAAAGAAATCGGGTCGGCAACTCAATTGTTCTCTTTGTCTGTCTTCACGTGTGTACCATCGAGTTCTTCGGCTGCTTCGTGTTCGATGATCCTGCGCTCCTTGTGGCGGCTCTGCTTCCGCTGATATTTTGCCTGACACAAGTCACAAAGCGTTCTGTTCCCTGCGGCATTAGTAGACAACGTGTACAGCGTATGGACGGACAAGAAGACGAATAAAAAAGAGAAAGACAGGCCAAGTAGCAATGATCGTGACGAAACGTATAATCAAACGAAAGATCAAAAAACAAGGACGACGGACAACTTAGAATAATAAAAACGAAATCTGGTTAATCGTTGCGACACATTAAGCGTAAACCGTAGACAAGTACAAAGTAAGAAAAGTTCGCGGTAATGTATGTATGTATATATGTACATAGTATAGTTTCGAGTCGCGTTTCATCCGAGTTGAACGAGAATTTGTTGCTTTGAAATTCTGGGCTGTTGCTACCAGAGCAGGAATTAATATAACGCAGACAAGTTGCTGGCTGCGGTCAGTTGTTATTCTCTTTAGCAAAGAAATATGATCAATAGCGTGGCGTGAAGGGAAAAGGAGAATGGGATAACAGGAAATCCGCTCGATGTGTAGTAGTATACTTGTGTGGTATTAACATTAGAACTACCTTCGATATTTTATAATACATATAACACACATAGATAATCACAGATCACAGGAAAAACACGATAAGTGCGTTTATGTTGATTTTTTGATTTTAATATCACATTGTGGCTAAAAAGGAATATTTTAATATAAAGTAGCCGAAGATGGGGAGAACCTGTTGGGTCCAGCCAAAGGTGTATATATATATGTTAAGACAAATAATATTTTAATAATACGTCAAACGAATTTTTTGAGTTATGAATAGGATGCAAAAAATACATGTTTAGCTGTAGAATTAAATAAGAACACAATCTCGACAGTTATTGACAATTAATTAACATTACCATTAAATTGACATTAATTGTATTGAATTTTAAAACTGCTGTCCATTGAAAAAAAAGAAGAAAAACAGAAAAATCAACATCAATCCTGTTAAGAGCACTTGCATATTTTTAATAATTGTGAAAATAGAACATCCAGAACTCATTATCATTGGATCAATCATGTTTGGTAGTTCTAGCGTTAATGGTCAAGTTGTAGAGACTAAAGAATTATACTGAGATGATCCTCGACTTTATCGATTATTATCGATGAAGCAAAATGTGAATACGAATATCTGAATATCCGAATGATAATATTTACAATATTTACAATCAAATATAGAAGAAGAGCGGGATAAAGTATAAAAGTATAAAAATATTAGAAATATAGTAGAGCCACGCAACAGGCTAGAGATACATTCCTGCTTGGCAGTTGGCCGTAGCTGAAGGACTGTCAGACTTACAGAAGTACACTGCTAACGATTCCGATTCTCTTATCAGATGCAGAAGTTCTTCACCCTCCAAATCCTCGATTACCTCTCCGGATGGATCTTTTTGTGTTAATAACCATTGCAGTATTTGATTTTCGTCGTACAGATCGCCTTTGGCCGAAGATAAAATTTAATTAATTATAGACTTCGAATTCATTTTATTTTCGAGCTAATTTAATTTATAATATACCTGCATAAATGACTGGTTCCTTCGAGGACATTTTAAAGAACAATATAGCGGGTAATGCGAAGACGCCATATTGCTTGGCCAGTTGCTTGTCGTCGATCTTCACGAACTTTATTCCCGCGTTGTCTGCTTCGTCATCGATGTGTTCGATTTCCACCAATACCCTGCCACACTGTTTGCAGTCGTTGCTGTCTAAACATACGCGCGCCATCGCGTTCGATATGCTCGAAAGTCTCGTTTTTTAAATAATAATCGTAGCTATTTTGCCGGATTTTTAATTTCTCCATTCTCACACTGTATTAACCCGAAATGTGGGCAACCTTCTAACAATTTTCTATTTTCCAATAAAAATATCACAAAACCGTTCTGCATTCTCCATTCTTTGGATATCTTTATGCCGGAATTTATACAAACGTTTTAAACATTAAAGCTTCGAACGTGATTCTCAATTTATTCGATAACATTTTGGTTGCTCACACGAGGGTTGAAATAAAAAGAAATAAAATGGAAACTTTCCAAATAGGTTGAAATTTCTTTTACGATATCAAATTTAAATATCATCGAAGTATCGATTAAAATGTTCTCGTCTTCGTTTTAACCGAATAAACACCGTAATCCCAATTTTACATACATTCGATTCGATTTATAATTCTTGTTCTAACATTTTATTCTCCTTAAATTCTATACTCACAGAAGAACACAGCCAAATAATCAGTGGTCTGTCGTATCTTGTGAAACATCTTCTTATTGATTCTCTCGATATGATCGGTGAGCTCCATGTTCTCTGGATTGGTTAGCCAATCGAGGATTTCCTCCTCGTCGTCGATGTCCCCGTCGTAATTAATGTTCTTGCCCTTGCGGAAGTACGTGATACCGGGTGGATTCCGGTAGCCATATTTCTTCGCCATCAATCGATCCTTCATCCTTACGATCTTTATACCGTACTCAGCAGCTTCGTCGTCGATCAACTCGACGTGCCTGAGCACCCTAGGACTCTCTGGATCTTCCTCCTTGTCTACGGGAGCGAGATGTTTCTTTTTTCGTTTCGAGGCGACGTAATATCAACCTCTTAACATTCTTATGGGAGAAATTTACGAGCAAACTGGACATGTTTATGCAAATTTATCTTTGCGAATATAATTAAAGAAGTGGAACTTAAATAGAAGTTCGTTTTAAATGCTAAATATCACGGCCAGTAATTTCTTATATTTTTGCATACTACATGCATTTTGTAAATTTTCATATTTACTTTTAAATTGCACACTAAATGCATGTTTATTCAAATTCATATTTTTATGAATAAGGAAATGAAATTTCAGTAAAGATTTGTCTCATTCTTTAAATACTATGACGTGTATTTACTTTACTGTGAATATTTTGTATATTTTTATGTCACGCGATTTCTATATATTTTTGCACATTTGAATTACCTATATCCAGATGCATAAACACACGTAATTTACTCATAAGATTTCTAAATTTGAAATGTTATTTGGTCGATAAGAGAAGAGACGATGCGAAGTTGTTACTCGATCATTTAAAAGATGAATTTAACTTTCGAAACGTGTCAAGTTATGATTTTAATAGAATTTGAGGGATGGATAATTAAGAGACGAATATAACAAAATTTTTCTTGTGTTTTTTACGGTGTTGGGCCGATTTTAGATCGTTCGATTGGCTATTTAATTTTACCGACTACACGATAATTCTTACTTACCCCATATAACGATTATATTTGAAACGAACAATTCGCCTTACGAATTATGTGACTTACTGCGAACAATCTACGACTTTGCACATTTTCGCAATCTTTTTGGTAGAAAAAATATCTTACAGAAAACGACAGCCAAGAATTCTTTCGTTTCGATATATTTGCTCAGGGTGTCACGATCGATCTCTTCGATGCTCTCGTCTGTCTTCTGCTTCACCATCCAATCAAGCACTTCGTTCTCGTCTAGCAGATTACCTAAGTTATCATAAGGTTGCTCGAATGTACTATCATCTTTTATCGAACTTTTTATTCATCGTTATCAAACGTAATTAAATAAAAAATTAGTCAAAGAAACTACCAACTCTCAGATTTTTATAGATTTCATTTTATTCAAGATCTGGAATGGCTATTCTCTTCGTCTTTAAATAAATTCTGGAGATTTCTAGATGTTCAAGGAAACTTACCCTTCGTGTACAAGTCGTTACATAGTTCATCGATCGATGTCGGAATTAAAAGAGAATGTTTACTGATAAATCTCAGATCGCTCGCTTTACGATTCAGATATGATAAAGACTCTACGATTCTTCCCTCTATTATTTACGATAATTTTTCAATTTTGATAAACACTTTTTAAGTGTGCATTTTTATCTGGCACTTATTTTTGTGAAGGATGACGTTGAAAATCCTCGATGAGTATTTGATGACCGTGTGGCTGGAGTATCGTGAATTGTGTTCGTCGAGTGCAAGCTTTTAGTTCATCATATACATATATACTCTGATAAGCTTCTAAATAGAAACAAACGGGACAACGTGAGAAACTATTATACAAGTGTCACATATGAAACAGTGTAGTTTCATTTATTCGTTGGACGTTCACGAGACACGTTTTCGATTTTTAATAATCTATTTCTGGAGAAATTATAGGTAAGGGAGGAATTCTACGTCTATCATTAGCAGTAGTAACGGGCAAAGCAAATACAAAAGGATACTAATTGGTACTAGGAAACATATTTATTATCGAGTTTTATTATTGTACATGTTGCTCTTATGCGATTAACGAGGATGCCGTACGGCAGAAAGTGCGCAAAAACGTTTTACGAGCAGTAAAATAATTCCATGCCTTGATAATCACGATCACAGACGCAGCGCGATGATTAAGATAATCAAATAATTCCTCTCTGTTGACTAAATTTCTCGTGTGAAATTGATTAATATATTTGATCTCTGTTGCTCGAATTTTTATTTATATATCCTATATATATATGTATTTTTATTCGTTTCTATTTCTCATACTTTTATCTATGTTCTTAATTTTCGGGTTATAAATTCACATTGCAAATTATCATTTACTGATTAATTATCGCGCTCGTGGATCGGTGACCACGATAAAAGTACAGTGTCTACGCGATGTTACTTCTGTATCAACGTAGCTTTTGTACAGATTATTATCGGCATTTTCGACTTGACGTCCGATGAGAACCACAGTGAATACAGAACTCAACAAATAAAACATTCGTATAAATAAATAAATAAATAAATAAGGTGTTTTTTTTCGATTTTTCCTTTTCCTAACTTTCGTTCGGAACCATAGGTGAACCGTTCGAAAGGGGAGAAAAAGAACAAGAATTCTCGATGTGTTTCTTTTTTACTCCTTTTTTTTCGATTTTTCTTCTGCTATCGTTTATTTTATTTTATATACTTTTTTTGTGATTTTGATATTGTTTAGTGCTGGCTCGTGCGGCCCAGTAAGCGATTAAAGCGATTAGTGATAGCTGGCGTAACAAGAAACGCACGTGTTCCTCGACGTTTTACTGTTGAGGAATATTTCAAAGAAGGTATGTTTATGTCGCAGCCACGATCATGGTAGCACTAAGGATAAGAACAGCATCGTGTATCGATGTACTATTAGGTATATGAAAAACATGACAAGTTAAACCCTTAAACAATTATTCTTTTATCGAAGAACGATAGTAAAATTCAATATGTTATCAGCCAATAAAAGATCTCCAGAAATAAACTTATCATGCTTTTCCCGCGTGATTTCCATATGTTTTATGATATGATAATAAAATTTATGATACGTATGTACAAACTTGAGATATCGTATCGCGCGTGTATGTACCAGTGTATATTATAAAAAAGAAAAGGAACGAGAATGAAAGGAAAATAGGGGATGCGACCCCAGAAAAGAAAAAGAAAAATCACGAATATTTTGTAAATTCGATTGGCAGACCCTAACTGCGTAGTCTGAGTCTGAAATGAGACTAAGAAAAATCGAATGGTGGATCAAGCAGTCGTTTATTCCAGATCAATATACGATTGTCATGATCATCAAGTTGCTACAAACCTATGTCGCTCGCGTTGCACTTGACATAAACATACTCTTGAGAGATCTGCTGATTGATTAAGGAATTATATAATTAAGAATAATTCGTTTTAATCCTGGAATCGAACTACGACGCCTTCAAAAGAGATTGTGCGATGAATCTTCATCCATCAATGTCAATCATGAAAGGATTAAATGAAGACTGAACGATAATTGCATTAGCGACGATATTAATTAATAATCGCTATAGCGTCTTCAGGTTCCAGGATTAAAACCAACGAGAGAAGATAATAAACGAAACGAGAAAGTGTTCGTCGCTACAACCTATACCGCGAGATCTAGGTAGAACACTACGAAACGTTCGGCAAGAGCGAACAGCCACATCTTCCATTCGATCGTCGACGATCGTTCGTTCGATCGATCGTTTCGCGACCAAGAAAAAAGAAGTCCTACCCCGTTCTTCCGCGAGCGTTACCGATCAAAAATGCAATGGGACAGCGGTATCGTGTCGTCGCGACGATATAACAATAGAACAATGATACGCAAGACTAATTTATGGCAGGACGATCGAAGTGTATGGCCGGTTTCGGCCATTATTTGATTAGAACGCATTCTTTGATTCACGCGCACGCGGGCATCGAGATTTTCTCTGTTCGCGCGAGAAATGCATGTGGATTTCTTATTTATATATGTATATTATATATACACATAAATCCTTCCTTCTTTCTTTTTAAAAATCGACTACTAAAAATCGCCTCGTAGACTGAACAAGTCTTATGTTTCTCGAGAAGCGTGTGCGCTTTGTTGTTGTGTTTTTTGATATGATTTAAGAACGCTTATTATCAAGAATTATGCGTGACGATGATGTTGTTCGAGTTCGCTGATTTATATTCGCAGTTCTTTTTCCTTTCGTTTTTACGAAAAGTTTAGTTACGAAGAATTTACACGTGAGTGTTTGGCTATATCTTTTTGTGAAAAATATAGGAGAGTGTCTCGGGGATTACAGATATGTTAAATGAGGGTAAGGGCGCATGATTTTTTCGATGATCGATGCCGATTTATAGATATGCGACGAGATTTTAAAATATTTTGTTCGCGACGATGAGCGTAGGGGAGACAGATGATTACGTCGATGATGATGATACTTCGATATATCGATGACGAATCAAAATGACGATAAACATGTTTCAGGAACAAGTTTGTTCAACGAACGAAACATTCGTATCTTTTTTACAATCTATATTTCTTCAACCGTATCTTCGTCTCTTCTTCTCTTCTGGTTTCTCTTCTTCCCTTCTTCTCCCTTTTTATCTTCCTTTTCCCTTCGATTCATCGGTTACTGTCTCTTACTCTCTGATCCAATTTCGTCCTTCATCTCCACCTCCTTCTGCTCGTTCTTTAGACTTTCATGATGTACGGAAGCCCGGCCACAACTGCAACAGGCCACAACCCCCGACCCAACTCTCAATGAGACGTAGAAAAACTGTATCCTCACGATCCTTTCTCATCGCGGCATATTTTTCCCGTACAATTTCGTTTATAGATTACCTAGTTTAGTTACATTCTTCATTACCGCGGTACATTTACTTTTTCTTTTTTTTTTTTTTTCATTTTTCTCTCATCAAAGCCGACTATGTATATATACAGTTCGGCGAGTCGCGACGTGTGAACAACCCTTATTTATTCCTATTATTACGGATTCGATCAACGATTACAAGGTTCTTGGACAGACACACACAATGTAGTAGGAAGCAGGAAAGGATCTGGTAGATATTTCGACGGAGCTATAATTGTAATTATCGAATCACTTCGGTAAAATTCAAACGTATCTAACATCTCAAACAAATTTAATCAAAAAATATTCCTCAACGATCCATTTGTAAATTAAACACGTTACAGAATGAACTTCTAGAAAATCCTTCTAGGATCCATCCTCTAAAAATTGATTGTAAATTATAGCTCCGTCGCGGTTGAATCGTTTTAATAGTTACGTATATTATATCCGGTGCGCGGACGCTCTAGAACGTTTACAAGATGTTCGATCGAACTTGTGTTAGAAGGCTAGAGACTCTCGCGAAACTGTTATCCCGACGATTCGAGGAATCCGAGGAGCCAGCCCACCGGCTTTCCTAGGCACGTTTCTTGGATCGTCTTGCTTGTCCAGAACTTGCGGCTCGTGATTTTCTTCATGGACCGCGCGACACACCTGTATTCCAGATACGAAGACGTTTCGTCAGCCGGCCCTTTTCTTACTCAACGTTTCTTTCCAGCCCCCGTCTTCACACAGATCGGCTGTCACTTCGTTTTTCTATCATCTAATACCCTCTACTATGTGTTTCCTACGTTGCCAATTAAATCACTGCCCACTCTCCACGTGGATACTGATTTCCTTCAGCTTCGTAGTTCACTCATAATACGTATTATGTATACAGGGTGTTCTACGCAACTGGATCAATCTTGTAGCTTTGAGGAATAGAAAGTAGAAAAATGTTCATGGGGTAAAATTAAATAATTTAGGGCGATGCACGACCAGAACAGTCTACTTGTAGGTACAATAATTTACTAGCTGATAACGTTAGTAAACTAAACAGTTGCGAATTATAAACTTGTCTTTTACGATTTCGTAATTTTTTGTCCAATAAGATAATCAAATAGTTCACAATTTGTAAAAATTTTTTGCGTAGCTTCATTTACTTCATTATCAAACTTAGTTGTTTTATTAACAAAGTGAAAATATAAAATCGTAAATGACTTAATATTTTTTTTGCAGGGAACAAAAATTCGCGTGGTATATAAAATAATATGCAGTTCAATTAAAAAAAAATAGGGGTAATTTTGAAGTTCTTGAAACACCTCTACATTCAGATTGGACATACTTCATCTTGCATCATGAAATGTATCTCTATCTTCTATCTTACTTGAAAAACTAGTTTTGCCCAATTACGTAGAACACCCTATGTTCCTTTTCTTCCTCAAAATAATTCCTCATGGATTATCATCTTTATTAAATCAAAATCTAATCTTCCGTGAAGAACGTTGATTCGATTTGAGTCACTTTGAATCAGATTCTGGATATGTATGGGCAATGATTTAACTCCGCGATTACCACAGCCAGTTCACATATTTACCGCTTCCGAAGAATCCCTTCTTGGCCTTGTGGTCGCTCGATTTGCTAACCCCCGATGACACCGTGGCAGTTTTTCTGCTGTCCTTTGCGGTGAGCTTGTTAATCGGCTTCAGGCCGGGCAGCCCCAGCTTTTCGGACCTCTCATGCACTTTGCCCTTGTCCTTGGTCACCGGGCCGACTTTTGTCACTTTGGCGACTTTTGTGCCGTGGGCGACCTTGGCAGGACAGCACTGGTAGGGCTGATAGGAGGGAATCTTGGGTTTCGCGCTTTTACCTCCCATGCCGATGTAGAAACAGCCGTCGCCTGCAGTAAGCAAATATACAACGAGTCAGATACAGAGAGATTGATTCCAGACAAAGATGTGTGGCAAAAAAAGAGAGCAAAAGTTGGTAAGAAAATTGGCTAGCCTACGGCTGATTGATTCGTCTCTTCACGAGTTAATACGGATGGGGTGGGTTGAAAAATTAAAGAAAAAAAGAAGAAGATGTGAAGAGAAAATAAAGAGAGAGAAACAAAGAGATTAGTGACTAGTGCAGAGAGAACGTGTCACTCCAACCCCAATTGCGCAGCAAAAGCCAAACGTGCATATTTCTCACAGACGAAAATATCTCGCGGCGAGTCGACGACTCTTTTATGGCAGCCATTTTAGCGTGAACCAGCCTCCACTTAAATCTTTATCGAATTATAAAAAAGAATGAAATCCTAAATGGGAAGAAAAGATGACTTTTACATACTGTGACATGTTTCCCGTATGATTTTCAAATTATTCGAATTTTAATCATATTGAGTTTATTGAATCGTATCGCTAAATACCTCTTTTTTTTTTATAAATTTTAAATTACTCGTATAAAGTTTCTATGTTGAATTTCCAACTAGTTTATGTATGTTTTTATCCGATTCCTAAGTATCTACACGTGCGAATCGGAGTTTTCTGCTTTTGAAGTTATTGAAATCCCGCGAGCAATGGAATTATTGGCATGCTTCACCGCCGATATTTATCGGTCGTGAGATATTCCGAATGAACCCCCTCCGCGTTATTTTTTTATTTCCCCGCTCTTTCAAGCAGAGGCCAGTCCGAATCTCTTCGACTCGGAGCTCGCTGCAGACGACAGCTGTCAACTACAACAGGAACCATCGGCTCGCTTTGGAGAAATTTGTTGTTATTTCATTTGTTGGGTTGTAAAAGTGCGATCGAGGTCTTCTGGAGCTACGGTACCATCATTCTAACAACCAACGACAACAACTTTACTTACCTCTATAAAAAAAAAAGAAGAAAATGAAACATAGATAAATAAAATATAAGTTTGATACCAACGAAGAAAGCCGTATCGATAAGTGCATGTAATCTATCTACTAATTACAAATGAATATACGAACGAAACAGCGAGTTACAGTAGTCGTACGATAAAAATTTTCAAAATGGCCATTGTGTTTGGTCACGTAGCTCCATCGACAAAAGGGATGTCACAAGGGTGGCATGCAAATGAGGGAAATTCAAGACTTCTAGACGGTGGAGAGCAGAAAATAAGAGGGAGAGAGGATTCAGGCTGATATAGTTAAGGGAACGAAAGAATTAAAAAAAATATATAAAGAAATAGAAGAATTTTAATTTCCATGCAGGTACGCCCTACGGCCACTGGCTCGACCGTAAACGGCGAGCAGACGGCCATATCTTCAATTAAATAAATCTTTCATTTTAGATTATTTGTTACGGCCAACCCGAATCGCTCTAGATGGTAAATATATACATGTATCTCTACGTTCTGTTTTCTGCAGGGATATCATTGTATATGGTATATTATTTGCTTTTTTATTTTGTGATTCTTTATATCGCGCAGCGCAAAGCCCGTCACACTTTGATCTCTCACGTGAAATCCTCTTCGGCCTCCTCAGTTGTCGTCCTACCTTTACCTTTGTCCAAGATTTTCTTCAGAGCTTTGTCTAATTTCTTATTTTTCTCTTCATCTTCGTTATCATCATCTTCATCATCGTCGTTATCGTCATCGTCGTCGTCGTCGTCTTCGTCTTCGTCTTCATCGTCATCGTCGTCATCATCATCATCATCATCATCCTCATCATCGTCGTCATCATCGTCATCATCATCATCATTATCATCATCGTCATCATCATTATCATCACTATCATCATCATCATCATCATCATCATCATCATCATTATCATCATCACCTGCGTATTAACAGGGCCATCGATAATATTCTGCGCGGCCGGAAATGAGCGTGTACCTACGTTTTTTGTGATCGATACGGCCTCTCGGTCCAAGGGATTGCATGCGTTTAACGACTTAAAATGAATCACGTTATTTACGTGTGTATTATAACAACGAACACGTACGAATTTGTTATCGATATCGTTTCCGACATGGATGATCGCGACATAACATACATTTAGTAGTAATATACTTAGTACGAACGAAGGCAACAATCTGCACGTTCGCGTGTATCATTGTGTGCATTCATGGAAGTTCCTTCGATTTTTCTTTTCTTTTCTTCTTACACTGTTTCGTCGCTAGCGATCTTTTTTTTTAAATTAGAGGTTAATATCGCATCAATTATCGAAAGAAAATAAAATAAAAGATTGATTTTCTCTTGAAAGTGTCTTTACACTTACGTAGCCACGAAAGTGCAAAGCAAATGTTATTGTTCAGCTTTCGAAATTTTCTTAGATATTTATTGATCGATTAACGACAAAACAGTTCAATGGAAACGCGGTGAAAGAAAGATCTTGCATCACAAAACGGTTAGATATCGGGTGTCCGTAAGTTTTTAAACAAAAAAAAGCTTGATCAATTCTCATTTCTTCTGAATACTACATATTATATATTATATATTATATTATATATTATAATACTGAATATTACATATTAATAGTAGCTATACGCTCTGTTCCCATGTTTTCATCGAAAAAGTTGCGCTCTCGCCGAGACAGATGTTTAAATGAGCGTATGTGTATAAATTGCTGTATGCTGGTTATGTGATAGAGGGAGTGGTAATGGAGAATAGTGACGAATAAAATAAGTAAATAAACGAGTCATAAAAACAGATACTTAAGATAATCATTAAGATAGAAAAAGAGATAGACAGTAAAAAGTGGAGGCAAGAGAAAAAGTGGAAATTCGCATTGTACGGGTGTGGCTTTTAAATGCATTGTGAACGGGTCAGTTGGTCAGAGCGATCTTGCGCGCGCGTTAGAAGCTATATCATGAATCGACATTTTCAATAAATCTTTTTCACCGAGCTTTGTGAGATCTTTCTTTTTTCGTTCTTGTTCTTCTCAAAACCGAGCAATCAATTTTTGTTTCATTGTCCATACACCGCCGATCCTCTTCCAATCTTTTAAGCCCTTATCGCTTAAAGAACAACTCATCAATTAAGTTTAATTAAACCTCAAATATCTCTATATAATAATTATTAGTTCGTATGTAACGACTAATAATTTTTAATTATAGTAACTAATAATTTATAACTAATAATTTAATTTTATCAGTAAATAACCTCTATTTTCCTTGATCGAAATAATATCGATCGGTTTAAAAGAAAAAAATCGAAAAAACCATACACTTTAAGCACTTCAAGCGTTATTATTACACTTAGAAAGAAACTGCAAACGTAAATTATCATAGTTGTTCTTTCTGAACACGCGGTTATGGGGATTGTGATTGTGGCAGAGTGATCGGGGTGATCACCACGGCGCGAGTATTGTACTCGTAGCCCGGTGGTATGGTCACGACCGAGATTAACGTCACAAAGAACAGTACACCAGTAATAATAATCATCATCCTAGAAATCTCCTTACTTTTCTGTTCGATTAGCCATTCCAGAACTCTCTCCTCGTTCTTAAGATTACCTACAAAAGGCACACACGCATATCAGGATCAGCTCAGTCACTTGGTGTACCGAGATTTCATTTGTTCGGTTGCAGAGTGTTAAAATAGTTTCGAAGGGGTCGCCAGGTTTTTGGTCGCGGGGTACCTTGTGGGATGGATAGTGTCAGTTGTTCTTCCTTTTACTTTTTTTTAATTTAACGTGATCTTTATCGAAAGTGTTTGTATCATTGCAAATATTACTTTGAAAATTGTTTGAGTACCAAAAAGAAATTCCTTATTATTTTCTTTATTTTTAATTTTATTTCCAAGTGATGATAACGAATATTCTAATTTAATTAATAATTAAGGATAACTATTTGAGGCAAAAGATGTACAAATTTTAGAAAATATCATTATACTATCTATCTTTTTCTGATATTCAAGCGTTTGGTAATTTGTTTCGAATGAAAACAATATTTACTGTGCGATGAATCAATTTCCTTAGAATTGATTTACCGGGTTTTCACGATCTAGTTTCTCAACCTTAGCCAAGAATAAAATCTGAAACTGACTTTTCATCATATGATATGATCCAATTAGAATTGATCGAAATTTTCTTGAGAGTTCAATGAAAGAACAACAATGCAGATCAAAGAGGAATATCTACGAGGAATGTAAAGCAGAAATTTCGTCGTGTCTTTGTTTCAACGATATTAACAAACAAAAAGAAATATAAAAAATAACCACTAAAAAAAAAAAGAAAGAAAAAAACAAAGACGATCTAACTAAGGGAGTGCGGGTCTTGATCGCGATTGAACAAGCCAAGGATTAAGCAATCGAGACTTACCGTCGTACATGATGGGCACCCCAGTTTCGTAATAAACGAGCGCTGGGAACGAGAAGACGCCAATTTCGGCAGCTAATTTCGCGTCGTTCGACTTAACAAATTGTATACCGTGCTTGTCAGTGTCATCATCGATGGTCTCTAGTTCTGCGAGTATTTCCGGGCACATTTCGCATTTATCATCGTCTGTTTAAAAGAAATATCTTATTTTCTAAAAGATACTTTAATTTAGGAAATGTAACTTCTTAGATTATTGTTATCTACAATCTGTTAATTTCATCTAATTAAGCATCAACTAGTATTGTTGGGTCATAAGTAAGCATAACAATTTGAATTATAATTCTTAATTTTAGAATGTTATGAATTATAGTTTTATTTGGCCTTCTATATTTTATAATATATATAGCTATAAATGCTGTTATTAAGAAATACGAAAACTTATTCACGTTATTAATAAATTTAAATATAAAACATAGAAAACTAAATAAAACTAGATGCGAATTATTTTAGTAAATAAAAAGTATGGGATGAAAATAAATAATTCTAATGAAAGTAAAGCGTTCTAACTTGACGATATCAGTCGAGATTTAAAAGATTTATAGAGAAAGATCTGTTGAAAATGTATAGAATATAAAAGTATTCATTATAACAGACTTACAAAAGAATACAGCGAGATGTTCAACGTCGTTGATCAGCACCTGTAGCGTCTTCCGATCGACGTTCTCGATCACATCCGGTGCCTGACTTCGAAGTTCCAATATCCACTCTAAAATCGCTTCTTCGTGCATCATATCACCTGAATAAACCTGACGGAATTTGTGTCTGTAGAACGCCAATGCTGGTAGACCAGGAAGATCGTATTCCTTTTCGATTCCCTCATCTGAGATCTTTACAAAGTCGATGTCCTTTTCTTCGCACTCGTCGTCGATATTCTCTAGCTCCTGGAGGATCTTCTGGCTCTTCTTGTCTCCTTCCTTATCTGGAATGGAAAACATTAGTGTAGACAAGATATTTTTTATTTTGATCATTCAGAAGCTATATCGATCAACTCCATAAATTATAGAATAGAGAAAAATGATTTAAATATTTTTAAACATTTGTCTTGAATTATTTATTAAGTATTTCCGTGATTATTCGTGCCATCTGATTACGATCAGTGAACATATAAAAATTAATTTCTAATCACAGTAATAATCACATGGCTAGATAATAAATTTAACATAAAAAGTGGTATCGTTCAATTTGAATTCCGAGAAATTATTTAATAATTTTTTGCTTTACCGATTGCCAAATATAATATTAAATATTATATTTATTAATTCTCAAAACGTAATAATACTAACAAAAGAAAACAACGATATAATCGTTCTCCTCAAGAATATTCTCCAACATCTTGGCATTCACTTCTTCAATCTTCCCTGGGATTTCAAGAGTATCTTCATCGGTGATCCACGAAAGAACCTCGTCCTCATCCTCGATGTCGCCCTTATAGATCAAAGGCTCCTTATTCCTGAAAAAAGCCAGTGTAGGGAAATTCTTGATTCCTTGTTTCTTCGCGAATCCTGTGTCTTCTGTAGTGACGAAGATGATTCCAGTTTCGTCCAGCTCGTCGTCGATATTCTCGAGCTCTTTGAGGATTTTCTCACACTCGTCGCCATCCTCGCAATCTCCACCTAATAAATGAAAGAATTTTTATTATTAGACGTTGCACAGGTAGTTTAGGTACCAAAATAAGATTTAAAAATAAAGATACATATATTGAAAATAATTCATAATGTGCAAATTTACCATTCTTTTTATTCACTTCACATTTTCTTTTATTCTATTTGTAATAAAATGAAAAGGAATTCTATACGATACTTGATAATTTTCGAAACAAAGATAAGATACTCGTGACAACTCGAGACAAACTCGAAAAAAGATAAATTTCTACTTTTTCGTAATAAAGTCGAAGAAATATATTTAAGACCTGTATTATGAAAATTATATATATTTAACCTAATTATATTCAACTTATACTTCAAAACTTTAAAACTTAAACTGTGTTTTCGTGACGAACATAAATTAACAAAGTGAAGGAGTATACTTACTAAAGAATGCGACGACGTATTCGTGTTCTTCGATCAAATCGACGAGTATTTCATCAGTGACTTCCTCGATGGTAGCAGTGTTCTTTTGTTCGATCAGCCATTCAAGAACTTCGTCCTCGTTCAATAAATCTCCTTCGTAGAGAGCCGGGATCTTGTTCTCGAAGTAGACCAGAGTCGGAAGGTGATCGATACCGTACTCCTTCGCCTCAGCATCGTTGTCCATACGAACGATCACGATTCCTTCCTTCTCCAACTCGTCGTCGATGTTCTCCAACTCGTTCAGGATACGCATGTCCTGCTTGTCGTCT